AACAGAGATTCCTTTGAAACACAGGGAGTCAGATGATGTTCATAAGAACATAAAACATGCTAATGGTAAGAAAGTTAAAACTTCCTGGCCACCACACAAAGACGGTCCTGGAGGTAAGACTTAGAGTGCAGTCATACAATTTTAATCCTCGGAAGCTGTCGTATATTGTGGTGTGGTGCAGAGAATGAGTAGAGCTATTTGAGCTCTGAATTATGATAGGCTATGACAGAAGGAAGCCAGGATGCTCAGAGATCTTTCTTGCTCAGGGCATAAAGTTGACTCTGCGTGCACCTAGGAACAAGTTACAACACCAGACCTACACACTGACATTCTTGTTAGAGTGAGGAGATACATTACTATTTCATAGAGAATATGACTTCAGGGATTAAATTATTTGATCAGTTATTAGGCAGTGCCTGACATAGATAATATTCTTGAACACCTTTAGAGATACAGAAAATTATGTGTATTATGGAAACTGTTAGGAAAGATTGGATTTAGCTATTCTAATGTCTTGTTACCCTCAGTTCCTCGGTGTGGATGCTATACTGTTTTTGTGATAGTAATTCCTTAAAAATGACTGGATGTTCCCTGTACTCCCAGATTCAATTTCCAGTTTTATTTATTTTGTATCCGAATATACACCATTCAAAGTAGGAATCATTAAATAGAATAATATTAATAACATTGAGATAAAAAAGGAGGTGGGGTAAAATTTAATATAGAATAAATATAAAAGTAAATTTACAACATATATACAAAACTATATTTGAATCCAATATCAGGCATGAAGAATGGCAGTGTCTGTACATGTAGCCAAATCTTGGCTTGTGCAGGGAGAATCTAAGATGGGGCAAACCAGGAGATGATCCATTGTCTGTTTTTGTCCACAGGAACACTAGTCTCACACACAAGGATATCCCCACCTCATTGCCGCACACCTGCCAGTATAGGTATGGAGTCTGTTTAAAGTTTTCCAGGTAGGCCAGTCTAATTCAGAACCTGGAGGAAGGATTTCCTTGGGCTCTAGGCCCAGACGGTCCTGCATGTCTCTTTCACTTCTTATTTTCCATAGCTAGGTTCTTTAATTTTTCTGGTTTCCCTGGAGTGGTGAGGTTCTGGCAAGGAAATTCCTTATAGATTTGAGTCTTTGGTTTATGAGAATTTTCCCATTTCCAGTAAGGTAGTTTGTATTCTTGCCATCGAAACCTTTGTAATAATTCAGTGGTCCTCAGAAGCACTGCTTAGCCACGTAACATGGAGTTTAAGAGTACGACTTTGTGGCGTAGTGCTATTTTTATGCCCCACCCATTTCATTTTCCTTTTGTTTTATAACCCTTTCAGGTTCAGTGAATAGTGCTAACCATGATATGGAGCCAGTCAGCTCTCGCTGTATAGAGACCAAGTTGCAGCCGAGACAACCGGGAGAGTGAGAGAATTCTTTTTAGTTGCTGCCTCCAGATTGACTCTGACTCAGCAACTTCAACAGTTGTTTCAGTTGTAAAGGTTTGCCTTTTCTCACTCTGATAAACATATTACAAGCGTCTAAACATTTGGAATGAAACACTGTGGTCAGTTGGATTTTCACTGTTGTTGCAAGGGGGGAGTTAATATATTTTAGTATTCTATCGACCTCAAAAGGACAGACTGCTACATGATAAAATATGTGATAGAATCCAAAGGTCATTGTAGTGGTTGTGCTGCGGACTAGATTGGCATTCGATTTCATGCAGCAGAAAGCCTTTCTTAGTTACCGATCCAGACCGGCCCTAGGGGGCCATCAAATGGACACCATTGGCTTGAAGCTAAGTATTTACCACCATCTAGAGCTGGGGCAAAATATTTGTGGATATTTACCATCTTCTGGCATATTCAGTGGAATCTGCCCTTTGTGAATGGAAGGCACCAACTCTTTTCTGACCTGCACATTTGCTGGGTGAGAGAATTTCCTCATGTGATTGTTTGGCTGGCTGGGATTTCCCATCATTTTCATGTGCAGAAAGGCATGTAGATATTTGCCTGTAATGGTTGTCCAGTTTCAAACAAAATTCAAATATTTAGACATGCTGGCAAAACCTGCCGAGCATCTGATATGATGAAAACCTGTTCAGCAGTTCTCAGGTTGTTACATGCAGACAAGCTGATAGGCACATAATTTTTATCTGCAAATGTACCTGAGAACCACCTAATGCCTGAATTAGCCATTCCTTGAGACATCTCTGTGAACAGCTCCTGAAATAGGAATCAAGTGGCAAATTCACCACGACAACGCTCCTTCCCGCTCGGCCCAGCTCGTGCAGCAATACTTTGCTAAACACAGTATTCCACGACTGAGATGGCGTCTGTAATTGACTCCCTGTGACTCATATCTGTTTCTGAATTTAAAGAGGCCCTGAAAGTAAAACCATTTGATGATGTGAAAGCAAGGGAACACAATGCAGCTATTGATTATTCCAAAAACTGAGTTTTATATACACTTCCAACACTGACAGAAACAATGGTACATGTGCGCGTGCACTGAAGGATAATAGCCTGAATGGGATTGATCCTGCAAAATCAACACAACATTTACTTTTTACAGATTCAGTACTGATGTGTTCTGACCAAGCCGACACTGAGAGGGGAAGCTTATTATGGAAAAAATACCGACAATTAAGTATGATAAATTATTCTTGGGCTACCAATACTTCAGTTCCCTGAGAATGAGGACAAACATGGTTCTCAAAACGTTGGATTTTTCTCCATTCAACTACCTGATACAGCTGGTAGCCTGAGAAGAATTCATTGTTTCCATTTCTTGTCAAAACATGCCAAGACTTCTCCAAACCAGTTCAATCCTACCCAAAAGTTTCCACACCTGTGAATTGATAGGATAGGTGGTTTCGCATGTTCTCCAGAGTGTTTGACATGAACGTGAATATAGACTTGAAGTCAGTGGAAATAATTTAGGTGCACTTGAAATTTTGGTCTGCTCAGTTCATTATTCACGCTTACCTGCACAGTTCAGTGAACACATAACTATTCATTCACTAATGTTAATCAGACCATTTCCTATAAAACTTTAAATTGTTAATTTGATTAATCAAAATATTATCTTCATATGTACAACATATATACATCTAGAGGCATTGAGATTGGCAAGGAACTAAGAAGGCACTGGAAATTAACTCATTCGCATGCGATATTTGTTTGCAGTAATTTTGTTTTGTCAGGCACAGGTGACGGCTTCATACTGAAATGTGTCTTAAGGAGAATGTGTGTGGGAATGTAACATGGACATTATAGTTAAGATCAAGCACTGGGCTGTTGACAGTACTGGCCATAGAGGTTCCATTAGTAGGGAATTATTTGACAGCTCAGTAGACATCATCTTTTCAAGAAAAATCCGTGATAAATTGACGTGCTTACAAGACTTCAGACTGGGAGTAACAGTTCAGAAATCAATAGTGAGGCGCATCTGCAAACCTGGTTTCTTCAATCAGCCTGTCCACATGTCAGCACGCTTAATCCGACTTTATTCTTGCCATATGTTTTTTTCCATGACTTCATATTGCCATAAGGCACTTACATTTATTGTACAAATTCACTTTTTAAATAAACTTGGAAAAAAGATTTTAAAGAGAATTCATGCTTCCTTTTTATAATTTAGGAAGAGAAATAGGAAATATGCATACTAAAAAGGAAAGGTCTGCTAGCATATGCAATATTTTGATTCTACGCAACTGCACAGCGCAGACCAAGTGATGATCCTGTTTACTTCAGAAGGAAAGTTATCTCACTTTATATTTTTATGTTACGACAATAAAGAAATTGGGTCCAATTTGTGAAGGGAATGCTGCATTCCATTAAAATTGGTTCAGAAAATTCTGATATGGATTTATTGTCACCAACCGATGATGCAAATTTGAGATTACACAACACTGCCCTCAAAGTACTGTCCTTGGGCAACTATACACTTATCCATCAGCTGTACAGTTCTTGGAAGTACCACTCAAAACCATCTCCTGGAATGATCTTCAGAGCAGCATCCTTCACCTTGCCTGTCCCTTCAGCTGAGATTTCACAAACCTGATGGCAAGACAACCAGCACTGTCACCCTGGCATCCGCCAAGAAGCTACAATGCTGACGCCTTCACTACCGACGAGGAGAACGCCCGATCGATGGAGAATTCAGCACATTGCATTTCAACACTATTTAGCGTGCCACCGCATCACAGCTATCCCAATGGTGCTTCTTCATGAAACCATCACTCCTTTCCAATTTCTGTGCCCACGACTACTCGAATTTTGGATTACCTTATCAAATTATTAGAATGGGGTAATCAGTGATTTCTGTATGAATGAGCTTGAGCATCTGAAATTAGAGATACTGAATAGTAACTGATTAAATTATCTGTGGTGCTTATTTCTTCCTGCCACCTCTTTCCTTCAGTTGCAAATTGCTGACTGTACCAGGCACGATATTATAATATGCCAAGGAATTGGAATCGTTTAAAAAACAAACCCTACAACATAGAACTGCACAAAAAACTTAATTATTACTGTAGACACTTTCTTCTCTGGACAAAGCTGAATTTAGGATAATGGAATTCAGTCATCATAAGAATTATGATATATTACACTCTGCTCAGACATCAGTGCAGGTGGCCATTACTAACTCAGCATGTTAGAGGCTGACAGAATATATTCACTTTACACCACTTGCACTACATAAATTATATAAGACCTGATGACGGAGGCAGTATGACCTCTGAAAGGTTGGTAAACATCGACCAGACTACACAGCGCAACAACCCAGAAGACAGAAATCTTCTTACTCTGATGATGGAGGCAGTATGACCTCTGAAACGTTGGTAAACATTGACCAGACTACACAGCGCAATAACCCAGAAGACAGAAATCTTCTTACTCTGATGATGGAGGCAGTATGACCTCCGAAACGTTGGTAGACATCGATCACACTACACAGCGCAACAACCCAGAAGACAGAAATCTTCATACTCTGATGATGGAGGCAGTATGACCTCTGAAACGTTGGTTAACATCGACCAGACTACACAGCGCAACAACCCAGAAGACAGAAATCTACATAAATTATGTATCCAGCAATCTGCAGTCAATGTACTGAACTAATCAAGAAAAAATCAAGTACAGCAGACTCAATGAACATGACATGTTTTTACAAATCTCTCTATTATGCCCTTATCCATTGTCTGTATAAGTTTTTTAAATAATTTAAAAAATCATACTTTGAAGGATGCACCTTTCTTCAAAATGTGATCTTTTAAGGCATTTTAAAAACTCTCAATAGATGTTGGATGAAGTCCAAAATAAGGAAATTGAGAAAGGTGGTTTCAGCAACAAAACTGAAACTATAAATAACAGAAGTCTAAGGAAGGGAATTCCACCAAAAATACAGAATGGACAAACTGTACAGCAGAAATTTAAAATAATTTAATACATTTTGTTGGCAGTTCTGATTCTACCAGCAGCTTTTAAAACCAAAAAATGATGAAACCGTCAACTTCTTGGAAAACAGTCAGAAAGAACACAAGTTTATAGCATTATTTCTAAGTAATACTGAAGTGGATTTCAGGGCTGAATGTAGCATAGATTCTTGGATTTTCCTTTATTTGTAATCATCTGTGCTACTTCAACCCTCAATTACTGCAGACATTAGGATTTCACTGTAAAAAAAAACACCACTTAAAATTTTAGAGACCAAAAGCATTAAATAAACTGAAAACAAATACGGAGTTCTCACTGGTAACAATGCACATACTTACCTCTCACTGCAACTTCTGTTTGCCTGGAGGCATGCCTGTTTCCTCATGGATTTTTGCCTTGATAACAGGCATTTCATCTGATAATGTCAGCATCAGAGCCAGAAATTCAATCTCCACTCTGGCTTCTCGGACATAGTAGGCACAGCTACTTTAAGGGACATAGGTGGCTAAAATAAAATAAACCAAAACTGAACAAAACATATCTCTTTTTTACACACTCATTTATAGAACTGCGCTCATTACAGTTCTTGTGCTGAAAGTTCTGTGATTCATGCTGCCATTGCAGTTTAATACTTATCTGGACTGCCTTCCCTGTAAACCATATTCTTTATTGGTTATGTGTAGTAAATTATGAAAGTGTTATTTTTCAGTGTTTCTCAGTGACCAGACCTCAAAGAACATGGAAAAGCATCATGACTTGAAATTAACTTACATTCTTAGAAGTTCTAGTAGACAAAAATCCAGTGCAGAGGTGAGATGTAAAATAGTTTTACTGGTTATTAATATCTGTTACATGACGTGTATATATGAAATTGTTTTGTTATTGTCATTCAGATTGTTCCATCAGTGGAAGTAAATTTAGAAATCCTTCAGGCATTTCTGTTGCTCAAAGAAACGAACAGAGCGGAACAACAACGGAATCCCTAAATGTGGTAGAAGAAATAACAGACCTGCCTATTTTATTGTTTTCTTTTGATGCCAGAAAGATAAATGAGAGACAAAATGACACAAGATTATGTTATAGACAGTACAGGAGCATTTTCACAGTCAGTGTAAATAAAACAGATGTAAGAAGTTGTTTTATTTTGCTCTTTGATTGCATTCCATTAAAAGCGTGACAGATTTTAAATATTTGGGAGCAACAATAATTAATCGAAATGATACTCATGAGGAAATCAGGAGGTGACTATATTCTGGAAACGCTTGAAACTTTTCAGTTCAAAATACTTTGTCTTACAATCTGATTGAATGGGCTACGCCCACAGCGATGGCTGCCTCGCCGGAAGCCATAGTTCCGGCCACGCCCCCAACTAGGGAGAAATGCTGTAATCGCAAACCTGAGTAATGGCCGCCATGCTGAAAGACATAGTTCGGACAGAAGGAGGGATGCTGTAATCCGGAACCAGAGATAATACTGCCACGCTGGAAGCCATAGTTCCAGTAAAGTTCACAGCCAGGGTGAAATGCTGTAAGGAGGTATAGTGGTCGTAGTATATTTTTGGCTGGTGGTGTTTTATACATTTTCACACGTAATTGAATCTGCATTGTAGGAAAGTATGCTGTACAGGCACTTTCATGTCATACCAAATAGATATTGGTGTACAGGATTTGTGTTGTTACAACATAATTTGTGCCACGTGTGACATATGGGAGTTCTTGAAATAAAACGATAAACTCTTTGTTATTAAGAAAAATAACCTGTCTTGCAGAAGTTATGAATTGTGTTTCTTGAAACGTTGGTTTTATTCTACAAGTACCTGCAAAATTAATTGTGAGTCAGGTAGTCATGGTGCAGAGACTGACTATCCTCATTGAAACTTTTTGTGATTTTCCTCAGTCCCCTTGAACAAATGCCAGGATAGTGCTTTAAATTAGGCCACAATCATCTTCCATCAACATTCTTTCCAATTAATTACTCAGTAACCATCCTGTTATTCAGTGCTCTTTATTATGAGATATTGAGAGTCTTCAGTAAACCCAAAATAAATAATTGCTGTTATTGAATGAAGATTGTTTTAAATGCTCTGTTCTTAAAAATATGGTGACTGGGATTGCTTGTGCAGTTGTACCACTCGCAGTGGGGAGCATGAAGTTGGTGGTAAACCAGTTGGATAAGCAGCAGCAGACTGTTTCTACTATCATCGCAGAGACCTTGCAATGTGGACTGGACTCGCAAGGTAACGGGTATCGCAGCTCACAGGCTGACCCTCTTTGCCTTTTACCTCGAGTGGAGGAATGTGTACCCAACATCTGTGGAGTAGTTCAGCCCGGTAAGCACACATTTCCAAATTACATCAGCTCTTGATGTATCTAGGAACATTAATGGTATTTTTAATTAATGAACATCTTCTGGAAGGAATCCTTGGACTTCATAACATTCCATTTGCATCGTGGTGAAATTAGCTTTATTTATGAATTAAACATCTGACACTCTGGTAACAGAACCGAAGGACTCGGTGCTGCAAATTACAAAGGCTGCCATTGGACATGGCTTCGAGCTAGTGCCATCAACCTCTGATTCGTACAACTGCTTATCTGAGATGCAGCTTAACATCCTATTTTCTATTTGATAGTCATACAAGTTACCTTTTTTCATCACATTTCTTTACCACAATTCTGTAAGCATTTCTTGTGACCCCCATTCTAGCTACATGTCATATTTTACACTCCATTTTTATTTCAGTAATGCGTGGTCGTGGTGAGACGTGTTCCTCGATAAATCTGACAAACACGTAAATTTTAAAGGCAAAGATTTCAGAGAAATGGTGCATCTGGTACTAAATTAAATATGGTTTTCTTTTTAAACACATACAAAAACAGTTATAATTATTTGGTTTTTGTTCAGGGTGATATGGTGTAGTTTTTATGCACAGTAATGTTGTCTGAAAGCAGCTGAATGTGTGATTAAGTTTGAGAAATAAAGAACATGGAAAAAATATGTGATGAATTTAAGGGAAGCTTACAAAAGAAATAAAAAATTTATGCAGCAATGAAGAATAATATGAATAAAAATCTGAATTTAAATGCCCAATAGACAAAGAAAAGTTGGTCTGGATAGTAAAAATGTGTTTCTTTAGACGTGGATGGAATACTTTGAGGAATTATTAAACTGACAACGTATTGTTGAGGACAGTACTGAAAATTGTAGTACATCAGACAAGGTTACAGCTGTAAACGGCAATAACACAAAAGAAAAATAATATAGCACTACGATGTGATAAAATATCTGTCAAAGCGATTAACACGGTAACAAGAGTCAGGACCCATTGGTTATGTTGAGTCAGGAGAAAAATTTTAATAGAAAACAGACCATCAGAGGACTCCTATAAAGGAATTACCAAACCAGTTTACAAGAAGGGAGACAGGAAACTATAAAGGAATTAGTGTTGTGCCAGACATTAAAATTTGCAGAAGAATACTTTGTAATGCAGTCAGAAATTTTGTGGTCTTGACCTAGACGCAGCTGCTCTCAGACAACTCTCCCTGAGTTGGAACACGTTCTTGCCGCCATTGGTACAGTTGCCGGAAGCAGTTCTGGAATTGCTGTGTCTGGATGTCACACGGAGCATCTTGCCTGCTGTTGAAACGATGACCTCTCAAATGTTTTTGTCTCTTGAGGAAAGAGACATCGGATAGTGAGAGATCATGCGATTAAGGTAGACGTGATGACACAACAGTATTGTGTTCAGCGAGCGATTTTTTGCACGAGATTTGAGAGGAGTGTTATCGTGCAAAAGTCACTGGTCCACTCCTGCAGCTGGTGCAACTTTCGTTTGATCTCTTCTTGTTCAGAGTTGCGTCTCGAATTAATTCATAGTGCACAGGACCACAAAACTCTGACTTCTGATATCACTTTCCATTTTGACCTCTCACTGTAACTTTTTTATCACAGTGAACGAGATGAACTGCAGGTCAACCGATCATGCTTTGTTTGTTAGTGAAAGGGATGAAAAGGTTCATCCATGACAGTGATGGCCCAAGGGAGCAAAAGATGTTACCAGATGTCATTGTCATCCACTCACTTTGCGTCCAAGGCGTCTTGTGCTGATTAACACGACGCATGTTCAAAAATCTGACTCCATGGCAATTTCCATGTTTTTGAAGATCCCGCACTTTTGTCAACATTCATGCAGCTGCTCTGACATGAATTGTCCACCTGGTTATTTTTTTTTGTGCAGTTAAATGACTTTCACCGCAGTCATTTTCCCTAAACATTTTCTTCCGTCTTTGGATCTCGGATGCCATTTAAACATGGTAATACGAGGCGCGTCCCAAAAGTAAGTTTCCCTGGGGCCGTTTACAGAAACAAAACACAATTTCATGGAAATATTTATTGCAACAGATACAGCAAGTGTCCAGCTATTTTTCAACATATTCGCCACCGGAATTGAGACATTTGTCATACCGTGGGACCAACTTTTGAATACCTGTGTCGTAGAAGTCGCCCGCCTGGGATTGGAACCACTGTGTGACAACCATCTCCGCCTCTCTGTCATTCTCAAAACGCTGACGCTGACCGGACAGGAATTTCTTGAGGTGTAGGAAAAGATGGAAATGACTGGGAGCGAGGTCCGGGCTGTAGGGTCGATGATTAAACACCTCCCAGCTGAACTCCGGCAGGAGACTTGCTG